TCCCTGGTAGATGGGGAGTGGCGTGATGCAGGGCGAAGATGCACCATGGAACAGGTTGGAGCCGGGCGACAGGGCGACGCCCCCTTCTAACAACAGGGGCTTTTAAGATCTCATTCTAGCGTAGGAACACACCCTCCTTTTATCTGAAACGACTGCTTTCAAACCAATCGAATAACTTAAGTCCAGCCAGGCCAGGTACACAAGTTCTGCCAGAGAACTTGAGAGAGAGAGAGAGAGAGAGAGAGAGAGAGAGAGAGAGAGAGAGAGAGAGAGAGAGAGCTTTGTCCATAAGCTCTCTGTCCATAAGCACATTGGTGGGCCCTACATGTATTCGGTCCACAAACAAAAGGCTAGCCTTCTTTTTTATCAGCTGTTAAATGCAGTGTTAACTGCCCCAAAGCAATATAAACTAAACAGAAAGCTGTAGCTATAGCCCAGGGTTCAGAATAGGAATGTCTTCCTTGGTGGTCTGCTGCCCTGGATACATTTCAGTGATGATCATATTATTTTGTTAGGTCATGTGTAGGCTGAATATTGTTATAGGGCTTAAAGAATACTACAACATATTCCCATTAGCCTAGTAGCCTACCTGTTATAACTATTTAAAAAGAGAGGCTACTGCAGAGGGCTTGTCAGCAATATAAACCGTGTCTTCCAGGAAAGCTAGACTAATAGGCCTATGTGTTCTCTAAATGTCTAACCTGCTAATCTCTGATTTATAGAGATGCAATTATCTTCGAGGAAGAGATTGGAATGATAAGGATATGGAGCACCCAGTAAGGCCAAGCAAAGTGAGATCATCTTTCCATGTTCTTGAAGGACAGTTTATTGTCTATAAATGCTAAACTTTTACTGCAGAACATCCGAATAAAAAGCTTTTTGAAGAGGTCAACCAGGAAATTAGTTGTCCCTTGTCAACAGACTCAGCGTGTAATGACTCACCTGCAATTGCGTGAGAATGGCCTCTCGCATGACACTGGCACATCACGTCAGAATGAATGACAAAGCACCCCATAGGAATCTGTTCTCTAAGATAAATATTAATTTTGTAAATCCAACCCAGAAAAAGTGAAAAGTAATATATTGTCCGCATTAGAACGTATGCACAACCATTACAACTGATGTGTAATCTTAAAATAATTTCCCAATATTCCATTAGAATACCCCCTCCCCTCCACAGCTGACTTTGAAGGTCCTACATTGGCTTTTAAGTTAATGGTAGGTTATAGACTATTGGCTCATTACATAAACGTTGCTTTCCTGCCATTTTAATAAACATGCGTAGTCTTTGTGGAAGGTAGGCTATACACTGTAAAAATAGAAAGTCTCAAAATACCATGATTTTGTAATGAAACCATAAAAAGTAGTGCACCTAAGCTGAGCTCTGGTGTTTGAACTGATTCCGCTCCAGCCATTACCATGAGCCCGTCCTCCCCACTTAAGGTGCCACCAACCTCATGTGAAACCCAATGTAAGTGTTTTAATACACAGAAGGTGTTTTAAAACAGAAATGAAGTACTCTGAAACACCCAAAGTGGTTCTTCAACCTGAATTTCGGTGTTTTTAAGAGTGTTGTGAAAACACTTTTTTGGGTTTCAGTGCATGTAAAAGGCAGCATCAAAACACAAAAATAATGTTCTCATACAATCAATGGTTTATAAATGTAAATGGTTCATAGTCTAAATATTGATTGATGATAAGGGACTATGGAGAATATTTTTTGTGGTATTCCACCTTAATATTTTCAATGCTTTATTTAGACAGATTGGAAACAGGAGGGGCAGTAAGATGGTACATTTCGTTGGAATTTTACCCACTCAACCACACAGCCACACTGTAAGAAATTATTATCGGTTGAATTGAAATGGACAAAAAAACAACAACAACAACAACAACATATACTTAATCAAAATGAATGCAAGTGGTGCAGAGCCTGTGGTCTAGCGGTAATGCACCCGGCTTAATCACCCCTCTCCCCACCGAAGACTGGGTTTAAATGCCCCTCTCCAACCCTTCAATCTGTTTCTCCCACCTATCTGTATCCCCTCTGTCATTTCAGAACTGTCTCAATTAAGTGTCAAAATATATTTTTAAAAAGTGTATGCAAGTTGTTTAAAAGATTTGTTAATTCAATTTGACCAAAATAATGTAAGAATAAATCCAACTGAATATGTTGCTCAAGATTTAAGTATCTTTCATGAGGATAACCAAAGAGAGAGAAAATTGAGTGATTGAACTAATTGGAAGTCTTTGGTTTTAATTACCTTGCATTTCCTATCTTTCCAAGTGACTCTGTTTTTAGAGGATTGTGGGTGATTCCCCAAAATTGGACTTTATGATTTTTTTCACACAATATATGCATGTTTGAAGACAGAAAGTATATTTATATATTAGTATTAAGCTTGTTGTGCCATGACGTGTAATGGATCATGATGAACGGATATCAAAACCGTCAGGCAAATTGACATTCAATGAGGACAGCATACAATTCCCACATTTATGATAACCAATGGAAGAGGTATGGGTAGAATCCTGAATTCTTACAGTTCACCTGCCAGTTAGTGCTGGTGGTTTGAAAACTGTCTGACAATGCCTGCCAAAATTATATAAAATGGCAACTTATCAAATACATAAAACAATGTTATACGTTAAGACACTTCAGAAAAGGGGATCTAATTCTGCACTAGACAAGATTCAAAACATCGTAATGGTGTTTAGAAGCTTTAGAGAGAAGAACCAACACCAAAAGAGAAGGTATCTAATTCTGCACTAAACAGGACTTCAATAACCGAAACAGGGTTTTCAACCTTTTCTGTTAGTGCTCCCAGTCCCTAGCAAGGTGTTGCATTATACTTGATTTAGTGGTGTTACAGCACACAATGTAATGTTTCGAAACATCTCAGGATGATGTGTTTCAATAATCCAACAAAGTTCAGGTTTCGTCTCCTTCAAGTTGGTGGCAGCTCAGTTGCCACAAGTTTTGGTTTTACAAAGCACTTCATTTTAACAGTGTAGGTGGGATAATGACCAGGCAGACAATTACCACAACTTGCTGATGTTATCTAAACTCAGGAGATCAGTTGAAATGTGTGTAATTGCGCTGTCAAGCTGCTAAAAAGAAGAACTCCCCTCTGCCTTCAGCCACTTCAAAGGGAAATTATTTTATTTTCAGCCTCTCTCTTTTTGAAGAGGCTATGCCTGATATGCTGGCATCAAAGGCAAGCCCAACAGCCGTCCAAGAGCCCGAGGTTGACTGTGGTAAACTTCTCTGAGGTGAGCAGAAATCATGGAATGACTAAATAACACCAGCAAAACCATGCCATACACATTCCATTGCAATATAGACAAGTCGACCATATAATTCCACCAGCCAACCTATGATTTTAAATGATAATTGAGTAAACCAAAAATATTGGCACATTAATTTACGTTACTTTAGCAATTGGGAGGTTCATTGAAAATCATCATATTTTTTTTTAGGTCAAACCCTTCAGAAACAACCGGCTGACCTCAACCATGGCAAAAAGGCTAGTTTGGGTTTGAGTAACACCCGTGGTGATGCATTTTGTCTCGAATTGGAGGCATTGCTTTTTCTGAGTCTGTTGGGCATTGGGAAAAAAATGTATGCCTTCTACTCTTTCCAAGCATGCAGGCATTAAACATTTCCAAGCTAAGTTGGCAAAATATTATTTTTCAAATAATGCCAAATGTATTTATCTTACGACATGTCCCCTAGCCTATACTAAGCTCATGCAGGGACATGGGGTGAATGCTACATACAGTGTAACGTCCTGAAAAGTTCAAAAGACTCCCCTCTCCTAACGTTATCACATAATTTGGCGCAGTCGTCCGATTGTAAATAAGTGATGTAGAAGTGCATTGTCTAATGGGGCACAAGTTGGAGACAGGCGTCTTTATTCTGTCGGCATGAGCCGTCGAAGACAAAGGCAGGAGACAGATGGTCTAACCTTTGATTCTTCAGAGAACGGGTATCGCCATGTGTCAGTGTATGACGCATCGGCCACAGTCGTGCCCCCAACGCTAAACCGTCGGAAACAATTGGATCACTTCTCAACTGTCTCCAACAATCAATTTCAACTATCCGCCCAGACGGCAATTGGATTAGCGAGTGTCTAACCACCGCACATGTTAAACTAATTGACATAAAAGTGAAATTTGAGCATATTGTAGCCTATCCCCAAGTATCCCATGCCTAGGCCTATGTGGTCTCCAACTGTTGCATTATTCTTTATGCTTATAAATGGCTAAAAGTGATCTTCATCTCACAGCTATGTAGAGAAATTACTAAAATCAAGTGTGAATCACTCCAAGTTGGATAATGCCAGATATGAAACCGAACATTATTTTATTTGGGAGAGACAGAGCATCAGAAAGATTCCTCTGTTATAATGAATTGCAACAATTACTTGAGTACATTTTCAAAAGTATCAGACCCAAACATGTTAAATACAAACTCATATAAAACAGTCATGGACCTTTGCTGTCAACTTTTCATTTTTCCCAACCCATATTATCTGATAGATTTGTACAATTCTATAAAATAATCTAATTCTTACTCAAGGGATTTATCTAATAAAATAATTGGTTTAAAGATCAATGTAAAGAGGTGAATTAAAATCAATGCACATTTCTGATTACTTCAACTGATTCATAACAAATCAGTGTTGTGATAATTTCACACAGTGCTCTAATTTAAGTACACAATTGGTGCTTCTTATGATCTGCTCAAATGTAATATTGGAAGGCAATTTATCTTTTAATTTTTAAATGTATATAATATAAAAGCAATAAATATTACCAGTAAATAAACTTTGTTATTTTTTATTTTTTTTATACTATTTTCTCATTTTAAAAACCTTATACAATCTAATATACATTATGAAAAGTTGTACAGCTTTTTATTTATGTTTAAAATAAGGACTCACTTTTATTTTTTTATATGTAGATATAAATATATATATATATATTGTCAAAATATATGATCATATTGTCAAGGAAACCAAAATATTTGACAAACATACATTGCAACATAAAAGTTATAAATAAAGGTCCAAGTGAAGATTTTTGGGAGTAAAGTGGGGTCTTTTCTTAGCGTCTGTGCTGCCTGCCTTAAGTTGCCCATAGTCAGTGTTAGCGGCAGCCGCACCCTTCCACTACCATTTCCTGGTAGTTTTTTAGGACTACCTTGTCGTGTTCGTCCAGGTAGAGCATGGAGATGGCACTGAGCTCCGTGGGCACGCAGCAGGCCTTGGGAATGTTGGTGTTCACCGAGTTCACCAACGTCTGCACGATGGCGTGGTTGGTAGAGTTCAGGTGGTCTGCCAGGGGGAAGGGGCACTCCCCATGGCAGTAGTATGCCTGGTACCCTGGGGGCGCCACTATCCAGTCATTCCAGCCTACATCACTGAAGTCCACGTAGAGCGCGTGACGGCGGCAGTTGCGGTTGCGCTTACGCCCCCGCTGCTTTGGGCTGCGCTTGGCCCGGCGTGTCAACGGGTGGCCCTTGCCGTCGTGGCCGAAGGTGACCAACAGGGGGCGTAGCTGCTCCCAGTCCTCTCCGGGCTCCTGGTGCAGTGAGCGGCTGATGCGCACGTGGCGGCCCTGGTGGCGCGGTGTCTGGTTGAGGTGCTGGACCTCCACAGCCAGCCCGTGGTTGGGTAGGCGCTCCCGTGTCCAACGCAGCAAGGCGGGGCTCACGTCGAAGCTCTCCCAGCGCGAGGCGTTATGGCGAACCAGCCGCGTGTCCAAGAGCCGCGTGATTAGCTGCCCGGCCCGCGGGGGCTTCAGCACCTCGTACACGTTTATCCGGTGGAGCCCCTCCTTGTCCCCCCCGCTTCCCGAAATGGCCTCGTCGATCTGCTGCCGGAACAGACGCAGCTCGGCCGACGAGAGCAGCTCGTCCTCTGGTATGCTGCTGAGGTTGAAGAGGAAGCGCAGCGGGACGGCCTCGCCGTTCTTCGTCTGAAGCTCGCCCGGATGAACCCGCTCCATGTGTTCTGAGAAAGAAAACCGGACAGAGTCAATGTCAGCACTTTTACCAAGGGAGTCTGTACAGGCTGCCATCTTGACTCTAATGAAAGCCTGTATAGGTTTGATTTAAGAGTTCATCCTTGAACTTCAGATTCCAGTTCAATGGGAACAAACTGTTGACCTCTGTGAGCTCTCAAATGAAGGACCTTGCATGAAAAATTTGGTAAGATATTCCCTTCCCTTCCCTCTTGTTACTATTCACTTGTTCCCTCCAAAACAATTACACCGTCGGTTGTTTAAATCAGTTCCCTTTCTGTCAATCTTCAGTGTAACATGCTTTAATTGACACAAAATAATGTCCAAGTTCGCTTGAGATAGCCTCCGGGGACTGAGCGTACAAATATACATTGTCTATACTTCCTTACCTATCCATAAGGATCTTCCAGGACTTCCCACAATGCCTTTCTCTGAGCACTTTGCTGAAACATGCATTACTTAGAGGGTGGTGATTAACGTACCGCAGCTACAGTATAAACATAGTAGAGGGTAGCTATTCCTTGCACAGTCTGCAGATTTCTGGCAAGATCACCATTGTTGGGAAAGGAATGTTGTGTCTACTATTTTTCTGCTCAATCTGGCCCTGTTATTTCACACCCAGGCCTTAATCTTACCCAGGTGGTTCTCATTATTAAAACCTGCTGTGTTTTTTGATTGGCTCTGCAGTTTGTTAACTGGGGACATTTATCATTTTCATCATGAATAATCATTACGGATTCCCACAGACAATCCTTTGGTGGTGGAGCAGCTAGGCAGCTAAGACTAAGTGGAGGCCTGAAAAACACTTTTTTTTTTTTTTTTACAATTGTTTGAATTCCTGGAGTATTCAGTGGGTAATTGCATCTTTAACCTCATTTGTCCCTGTACAGTTTTTCCCAACGTGACACTAACATGTTTCTCTTTTCACATAGTTTTCCTTCCATAGCTCTGTCATTGTAAACTTGAACTTGGTGTCTTGACTAAGAATCTTATTACCTTGTAGTGATCCTAAAAAATGGACTAAATTGAAGCGTTATATAATGGAATTTAAAACAAACAACTTAGTTTGATCTTATTTATCCCGCTCAAAAAAAGGCTCCAAGCATGTTATTAGCATAGCTTGACAGTGGGAAACAAAACACCCAAAGAGAGCAGTAGAAACAGATCTTCAAGACAGCACACACACACACACACACACACACATTGCATCATAGACAGGCAGCTGAGCCTCCTTGTTCCTGAATGGCCTTGGTTCTGTGCTGTGCGGTGTTAGACAGTGTGTTAGACAGGCCCCATTAAGGCTGACTAATCCCTACTCCCCCGAGGGAAGACATGTTCTTCTTCAGCCCTTCAGCTCTGCCTGTTCGTCCAGCCCTCCATCCACTATAATACACTACTGTCACACTGTGTATGATCTCTGGATTACACAAGACAAATATCTGATTTAGAGCACATACTTTAGCCACATATGTTATGGGAAGGTTCTTACTGCACATAAATAGCCTACATGTTTACCTCTCTGTTATAAAACGGTTATTTCTGACTGGGCTATCCATATTACACTTACATCTTGTATAGTTCTCAGTATACATTTAGCATCCATGCTAACGTATCTCTCTTACACAAACTATGGATAACCAAGGACTACCATGTAGGGGTGTGAACATTTAAACGTTAAAATGAAACTGGGATCTTTAACTTAAAAAAAATAAATAAGAAAAATCCTCAACAAAATTTTAATCACAGTGCAGGTGGCTCACCTGCTCTTTCTCTTCGCTAATGATGCAAGAGTGTGTTCAGTCTTCGGTCTGTTGTGTGTAGAATATCCTAGCCTATTCATTGATGATAGGCCCTGCTTTACTGAAGTTGCGAGACATCGCAAGCCAAGAAATGTCCAAATATAGCATTTCATTTGTGAGATACAGCTTTGGATTGCCGATAGATAGGGCTAGTGCACGGTTCTGACTCCATCTGCCTGGTGGCCGACCTGCCTATATTGTGCCCCTCCCCTCTCTCTCTGTCCTTTGCTAGCTCTCTATGAAAAATGTGAGTGTTTGTGTTCCCGGAAGTACGGCAACTAATCAGTCTCCCCCGTTCCAAAAATACTGAAGCTTAGGAGTCGATTACTAGCAGAAGATGTGTTTTATTTCTACTAAATGTCTTGGTAAGTCACGGTATTTAACAAACTTTAAAGTACTTTTTTAAGAGAGAGTGGTCTGCGAGCAGGCAGCACGAGATTATTTGATTGACAGTTCTGGTCGCATAGTGATGGACGTTAGTCCCACTTCAGAGAGGATTTCGTGTCTGCATTTAAAAAGCAGTAGTGTACCCTTACAGAGAAACAAACATGCTGTAGCCGAGGCGCTTTCACGGGCATATAATTGTGGTAGATATAACTTAATTGCCTGGGCCTAGCAGTCATACATACAGTACGTAATAGGACCATTATTCTGCATTGTGAATTGACGTGGAATTGTATGATATTTTCTTATCGTTAAAAGTTAAGTTAGAGAGTCTGCACTCCAGCTCTGCAGAGTTCTACAGTCTGTCTGCTCTGCTCCCAGTGCCCACATTGTTGGCAGGAGGGACTTTATTTAGAAGGCTGCAGAGTAGCGTTAAAGATAATTGCTTGTTGAGGAAGGTCCCTCTTAAAGGGCCCTAGCTCCATCTTAACTGGAGACATGAGAGAGAGAGGCACACTACTGCTGGCCAAAGGCTTTTTTAAGCCCTTGTGCTGGGTGGGGTGAGAAGTGTAACTCAATAATATTAAGGTATGCTTTTCCTTGAGCTGCTAACCAAACACGCAGCTGGCTTTGTCGGACCGCAGATTCTCTCAGGAGGAGGGGAAATTGTCTGACTGAATTCTTGCCCCCTCTTTGGCCACCATTTTGTGACCACATCCTTAGATTTCATAGTTTATGTTGAAGGTGGGAGGGGATGTCTTATATTTATGTTTAAGTGGTGTAGGAAATGTAGCATTTTCCCATTATTGTTTTTGATGAGAGATGGGGATTCTTTGCTTACGGGTCCACACCCAGGCTAATAAAATACGTGGTGGGAGATATGTGTTGCTGCCATCACTATTGGAATGTTATTAAATGGGGATGGACTGTTGATGTCCAGAAAATAAAAATGGTTCAATATTTTTTTTAGGGAAGGCAGTGCATTCCAAACCATTTGCTGTTTCAGGTGCTGGTTGGCCAATTACCTTGACTTACTGTATATTTTCTATATAGAGCTCTGTACATGGATTCTATAATGGGGCATATGTTATAGACATGCACTGTAACTGTACGCTCCATGAAATATGCACTTTTCCCATACTTACCAGAGAGAAGGTTATATCACCTCTGGATATCCACATGTACTCATAATCCATGCATATCTCTCTTTCTGATCAATATATTGATTAGATTTGGGGCATAGCCCTGGGTCTGAGGATAAGGCATTAAGGTATTGCACAACAGTTATTACCAATGTGGTCCTCTGTACAGACAGACAGACATTTACCCACTCACTCGCTCTCTCTTTACCTTCATGGTGGAAGCCCCTCACGGTGTTGGCGCGGCTAGCCGACCTCTCGGGGTACTCGAAGGCGGCGTCATGAGCACCGGCCTCCTCGGCCTCACCCGACTGCAGTCGGTAGAGGTCCAGCATGTAGCGTGGCACGGTGGCCGAGCGGCTGGGCCGCGGTCGCCTCTGCAGCCCAAACATGTGCAGCAGCGTGGCCTCAAAGTCCCGCAGCAGTTCATGGCTCTGACCAGCCGTCCGACTCTGCAGGCCCGGGGCTTTCTTCTTCCCTTCCTCAGGTATCAGACTAGCATGGATGCTCTCTCCCAGCAGGACTTGGCATAATAAAATGACCATCAGCATTCGATTACCAGGAATCATGATGTCTCTGGGAAGGCAAAGACAGAGCTAAAATAAATACAGTGCCTTGCAAAAGTAATCATCCCCCTTGGTGTTTTTCCTATTTTGTTGCATTACAACCTGTAATTTAAATGGATTTTTATTTGGATTTCATGTAATGGACATACACAAAATAGTCCAAATTGGTGAAGTGAAATGAAAAAAATAACTTATTATTTAACTTATTAAAATATTATAAAAAATAAATAACGAAAAAGTGGTGCGTGCATATGTATTCACGCCCTTTGCCTTGGAGCCCCTAAATAAGATCTGGTGCAACCAATTACCTTCAGAAGTCACATAATTAGTTAAATAAAGTCCACCTGTGTGCAATCTAAGTGTCACATGATCTGTCACATGATCTCAGTATATATACACCTGTTCTGAAAGGCCCCAGAGTCTGCAACACCACTAAGCAAGGGACACCACCAAGCAAGCGGCACCATGAAGACCAAGGAGCTCTCCAAACAGGTCAGGGACAAAGTTGTGGAGAAGTACAGATCAGGGTTGGGTTATAAAAAAATATCTGAAACTTTGAACATCCCACGGAGCACCATTAAATCCATTATTACAAAATGGAAAGAATATGGCACCACAACAAACCTGCCAAGAGAGGGCCGCCCACCAAAACTCACGGACCAGGCAAGGAGGGCATTAATCAGAGAGGCAACAAAGACACCAAAGATAACCCTGAAGGAGCTGCAAAGATTGGAGTATCTGTCCATAGGACCTCTTTAAGCGGTACACTCCACAGAGCTGGGCTTTACAGAAGAGTGGCCAGAAAAAAGCCATTGCTTAAAGAAGAAAATAAGCAAACATGTTTGGTGTTTGCCAACAGGCATGTGGGAGACTCCCCAAACATATGGAAGAAGGTACTCTGTTCAGATGAGACTAAAATTGAGCTTTTTGGCCATCAAGGAAAATGCTATGTCTGGCGCAAACCCAACACCTCTTATCACCCCGAGAACACCAACCCCACAGTGAAGCATGGTGGTAGCAGCATCATGCTGTGGGGATGTTTTTCATCGGCAGGGACTGGGAAACTGGTCAGAATTGAAGGAATGATGGATAGCGCTAAATACATGGAAATTCTTGAGGGAAACCTGTTTCAGTCTTCCAGATATTTGAGACTGGGATGGAGGTTCACCTTCCAGCAGGACAATGACCCTAAGCATACTGCTAAAGCAACACTTGAGTGGTTTAAGGGGAAACATTTAAATGTCTTGGAATGGCCTAGTCAAAGCCCAGACATCAATCCAATTGAGAATCAGTGGTATGACTTAAAGATTGCTGTACACCAGTGGAACCCATTCAACTTGAAGGAGCTGGAGCAGTTTTGCCTTGAAGAATGGGCAAAAATCCCAGTGGCTAGATGTTCCAAGCTCATAGAGACATACCCCAAGAGACTTGCAGCTGTAATTGCTGCAAAAGGTGGCTCTACAAAGTATTGACTTTGGGGGGGGTAGGCATGTTGTGTAAATCAAATGATACAAACCCCCCAAAAATCCATTTTAATTCCAGGTTGTAAGGCAACAAAATAGGAAAAATGCCAAGGGGGGTGAATAATTTCGCAAGCCACAGTACGTGGTTGGTAGAGGTAGGGTGTTTAAAAGAAGACAGGAAGTGTGTGAGAGAGAGTGAATAGAAAGAAAGAGAGAGACCTCTGTTATGTGACATTCAACATTTGTCTACCCTTCCTATATCTCCTTATTTTTCTAACATAACCTCCACCCTGTAGGACCCTTCACTAATGTTCTCACTGTAAATGTCCTCTAATTGGTTATAATTTACCTGTCTGGCTTGTTTACAGTGAAATGGCCTCCGATCAGATATCCTCCCTATGCAGTTTATCTCTGGCGACATCCTCCAAGAGTAAACAGCTGGTTTAAAAACACAGATTTTTGAATGGAATCTTGGGGCCATTCTTTTTACCCTCTCTCTCTCTCTCTCTCCTCCACTATGATTAGACACATAGGAGAAACAGCCCTGGGGTCAAAGCAAATTCTTAACTCGTTAAGTAGCCGAGTCCCTCATAAGTCTGACCCGACCAAGGAGTCAATGAAAGGACCATGTGCCGCACATTCCACCAACATTTTCTCTGTAAAAGTCAGACTAGACGCTTTCCCTTTTCAGTAGTGCCATCGAGTTATTTAACATTAAAATATGACCAACCTCAAATCAATGTTCTGAGAAAAGTTAAGGGAGAAATGCAGAAAGCTGTGGCAATGGTGTCACATGGCATAAATTGAATTAGCGTGGTCCACTTACCGACAGAAAATAAAGCATGGGAAAACAGTCCATGTTTGTTGGGAGCCAGCAATGGACGCGTTCCTCAAGGAAATGTTATGTGGTGCTGGGGGGCTGCTTGAGAGCGTTGGAGTGACCCTGTTCCTGAAATTCACAGAAGAGAAAAAGGACATTGTAGTCATTGTAGTCTAGCCAGCGTAGAGGAAAATACTTCTGGCTTTGACTTAACATGTTTGTATGTGTGAGTGTGTGTGTAACCCAGTCTCTCTTTAAGGATTTTCACATAGACAAGTGGGGTAAAAGGTTACGCTAATGTTCTCTTTTCTGTAACTGGCAAGTCAGAGCAGGGAAACCGACTAAGAGCAGTTCACAGAAGTTTGATGCCTTTTCAGACACCACACATTAAATAGGACAGAAAATTAAACAGCAAAAACATTTAATGTAACAATATTATTTTCAAATGTTTTACTCCAAAATCTTCAGACTTTAGCAGACATATTTTTCAAGAGATCAAGCCACAACATCCATCTACACTTCATAAGCAATTCGTCTGTCAATTGAAAAACAAAATTGTCTTGCTTTTTCGTTGAGGTAGTAGGACCAAGTCATTGTAGAGAGCATACATTTACATAAACACTGCCGTGTCTATGCAAAACAGACAGGCAGAGTAGATGGACCCTCTCTTGTCCTCCCTCCTCATTAAGGCCAGCTATCAGATGGTTCATGATTGCTCTGTATTGATTAGTAGTGGATTAATCTGCATCCCAATGGCCTCAACAAAGGAGGCCAAAACCGCTTGATCTAGAAACTTAAAGAGCAACCCCCCGACCTGTGTGAACACCCATCTAAGTGCACCCATCAAGAAGAGACCCTCTTCTCCCCCCCACCCCACGTCCTCCCACCCTCCTTCCTTCAGTTGCACTGAGATCTGTGGAGCCGCTGATGACAGGCCTACTGCTCTGCTATTTGACCACATTGGCATCAATAGGCCCAAGGCCAACCACCATGGACTCAGACAAGTACTAATGCTTTTCTATATGCTGTCCTCCTGTCCTGCCTACTATAGTGTAAGTTAGACATACTGTATGTACTTACACACTATCTTTATAATAATATAATATGGCATTTAGCAGACGCTTTTATCCAAAGCGACTTACAGTCATGCGTGCATAATTTTTTTTGTGTACGTGTGGTCCCAGGGATCGAACCCACTACCTTGGCGTTACAAGCGCCGTGCTCTACCAGCTGAGCTACAGAGGACCTGTCTCAAAGAAGATCACTGCATTTCTATACTGTAGTCTCAAACCTGTGTGATATGAGTCTGTTGCACCTGGAGGTTTGTTTTCAAACCTGATCAAAAGCATAATTGGCTGTGTGAATGTTTTTATGTACATGTATTTTTACGCTGCACACAAGTAGCCCTTCGGGGACGATAAAGATCTATTGAATTGAATAGAACCTTGTTTTTCCAGACCAGCCAGACTTCACAAGAATTCACCACTGCAGTATATTAACAACAAGAATCTTGTTATCCAATACAATTCACACCAGACTGTCACAGCAAAGCAGTTCTAGAACTGAGACAATTCTCTCCAATCCCTCTATACACAGTGTTCTGTCCTGTAGATGGTTTACGCCCATTCTGTGGATCTATGACATCACAACAAGAGGGACTTGGCCTTAATGAATCTCTTGCTTAAACACACATTACTGAATCACACTAATAAAATTAACGAGTGTTTGTAAAATAGGGCCTGGGAAAACAACAGTGCCACAGAGCAGACGCTTCAACTCAATGGGTGAGAGCAACTCCGTGAGCATTTCGTCATCGGTTTGGAGCCCATTCTACTGGAACTGGACCAAGCATTACAACAGCAAAGATGCACATTAACAAGAACATTATGTGTACACTCACTGTGTGTGTGTGTGTGTGTGTGTGTGTGTCTGGGTTCATATCTCAGTGTTTATCTTTTTTCCCTCCATGGCTCACTGTACATGTAATCAAGGAAATCTTTAAACTTTTTTTGTAACAAAATTAGACATTGACCTTTGTGTGACCTTGTGTTCTTGGTCGTGACACAAGGTCCTGTGTTGTGTGAGTACTGACTGGTGTGTGTGTGTGTGTCTACCAGTCCGTGAGAACCATGGCGAAGAGGCAGTAGGGTTCTGAAAATGATCAGCTCTATTACCCATGGGGTGGAGGGATAACGTGTGTGTGCATCTCTGACAACAAACGCTCATTGTGCCAAGTGGCCTCTCCCATGATTACAGCGAATCAGACCGCTAAAAACAAAACAGTGACTACAGAACTTATATTACAGAGCCACTTATTAAGTTGATGGATTCACCAAGTATGTTGATGACCTACGGCAGGTAGCCTAGCGGTTAAGGGCGTTGGGCCAGTAACCGAAAGGTTGCTGGTTCCAATCCCTGAGCCGACTAGGTGAAAAATCTGTTGATGTGCCCCTGAGCAAGACACTTAACCCCAATTGCTCATGTAAGTCACTCTGGATAAGAGTGTCTGCTAAATGAGTCAAATGTAAAATAAAATGACTGTGGTAGCTGTTCTAAAGAACATATAGGGATGTAACCAACAATGATGCTCATCACATTTCTTCCTCATTCTGCTCTTATATTGTAATAACCGCTGTATAAGAGGGTGTCTAAAAGGATAAATAACAATATGTTTGAACACTTTTATTGTTTGGGGTTATTCAGCTCACCAGCTGTGAGGCAGGCCTAAAGTAGGGGAGAGGGACAGTTAGGGAGAAAGTGTAAAATTCAAAGTCTGAGTTTTGGACTAAACGAGAGACAGCGCCACATTTTGCAATGAATGTACTGTAGCCCAGGGTGCAATTAGGCCTGGGCAGTTTGCTTCCTCTGGTTTGGGCTAGTCCTCCTCCCTAGGCCTTTATTTGACTCCTCTCCCTCATTCTCTCTGTGCCCCCCCCCCCCCCCCCCCCCCCCCCAACCTCTCTCCCCTCCCTCTTTTTCTCTCCCTCCCTCTCTCTAACCAGAGATAATGTGATCAGACTATGCACATGGCCCTTTAGATGTGTTTCCTGAGGAATTTGACAGGGATGGGGGGGGGGGGGGGGGGGGGGGGGTATTAAGTTCACAGAAGCATTCATATTCCATGTTTCTTTTTCATACAGTGGACATTTTGTATTCATTTTAAAAAAGCAAGGTACACTCTATGGGTAGGCATATACTTGGTTAAAGGTAAAGCATGATAGCTCTACTTATTTCTGACAATAAGTAGTGTACAGGAACAGCAGCAACATGCTTTTGAAGACAGTTCTAAGACTACAAATGGATGTTTCCAGTTATGTCTCCAAACATAGTCAATAATTATCAGTTGATCTATTATCTGTCAAACTCGTATTTTATATTTTAACCTTCTTATCAGTTAATTATACATTATTTAGTGTTTTTCCCAATTGAAGTTATAATAAAAGTGAATGGCCATATCTTCAGGGCCAAGCAACAGTTTGATGTGAAAGCAAAGTTATTGAAGCATGCGCCAATGCAGGTTCGTAGTTATTGTTGAATGATAAAACTATAACCGCTAATGATAAAAAAATATGTTTTCATCCCTTTTTTCCCCTTTGCTGTTTCTTGTTCTTCTTTCTAAATTATAGGCCTAAGCATCGGTCTGTTTGTACTTAGCAAGCAAAATTAAGAACAGATACGTTTACTCTTACTGTCAGCTTCATGCCCAAATGCTCTCTTAGAATGAACTTGCTGTAAACTGTGGAATTCTGTTGGAGTCATTAGTCATCAATTCAAACAAATGAGTAATGTAATGATTTAACAATTTGGAATAGGCTAGTGTAAATGGCTGCAGGAGGCCAGATTGAGTCCGTAGGCCTGTAAATATTTACGGTAAACCTACTGTCCCTCATTGTATTAATGAGATTTTCTACACAAACGTCTAAATTCGATAGGCTACATGGATCTTGATTCATTTGTGTATGTAAGCCATTTGTTTGTAGTAGCGGTAGAGATAAACAATGGTCCTACATTATTTATTCTCATAACACGTTGGAGATTGTTGTTTCCATTACGTTTTTAAATCCAGGCATTTGTTCTTAAATCACAATTGGGTATCGAAATTATCATTAAAAAATTTAACAAATAGGCTTTGGCATTTGAGAAATCTAAAATAGCCTAATTGAACTGTGTAGCATAGCTAAATTTACGCATGGAAGACCAGTGTCTCTTTGTCCAGGGGTGTCTAATCAATGAAAGTAGGCTTCGACTATAGGCCTATATATGGACTAAGTCCAAAATCTGACAAATCAGTAACAACCTGGAGATAAATGTTTTGATGAAAACGTGAGTGTAGCCATTCCAAACGGTTACCAAATAGGAAATACGCGCACAATACTGTTCGTGCAGGTGTCTAACCCAGTGCCAATTTATAAAAAAAACAACAACAACATCATAATCTATTTATGCAAGTTGCAACAGTTAAAAACTCCAAAAGTAAGTCTTCGTAACATTCTTTAGCAGAAAATGACCTTATTCGTTGTTCACTGTTTAACACGTTCTGGCACCATTGTCCTAGCGTGCGTCAGGATATACGGTAATCAATGTATTTCACTTCGGGTCAAATTATTTTAATGAAGTATCTCCAGTAATCGGATTAAATGCAATGGGATACATTTAATGTTCAGTATCACGAACATGAGACTGTGTTGATAGGCTAATATTCTCAATTATGCTATTTCAATCATTTACATTTATTTATAACAAAATATAAATGTAGCCCATCTGAGCCTTCTACTGCAACTTTGTAGGCTAATCTTGTAGGCTACGTGGATAGAGTTGACCGTAATTTTATAGGCTATATTGTTATGTCAATTTAATCGCATTCGAACATGCCACAGATATGAAGTTGAGCGGGGCTTACCATCAGTAGGGGTACAGGTAGTATCCTCGAGAAAAGTAAATATGACAAAAGAAAGTGCGAGCTCTCCACACGCAATGGAAGTCCAGGTGTAAAGCATGTACTGTAAACGCCGAATTAATTGATGGAGAGGTACGGTGGTGCCTTCGGATCATTAATTCCTTAACGACCCTCTAAAAAACAAGAGGCGAGAAGATGGCCGGAGACCGAAGCGGTATGAAGCAGCCTAGGTTTGCAGCGGGGTTCCTATCTCCAGAAGTTCATGAGGGCGGAACACTGCGCGGACAGGCGTACTCTCCAACTGATCATGCATCTATTGCCCATTGCCGTTTTTATGTGTCCGCCCTATTTAGCCTTCATGCCTCCTCCTACCCCCTCCGCCCCCACCCCCATCCCGCTGTTTCAAACACCTTAGATAAACCCCCTCCCCTCTCTCGAAGAGAAACACATTGTGCGCAATTTGTTTCGGCCTATAATAATGAGTTGAAACTTTCTAATATTATTATTTAAATTGCATTTCGGACTGTAATTTGTCTGTAATATGTAATACAACATTGCTACCCTGCAACTAATTATTCAGATAAATGTTTAATGCCAAACTTGTTAGTGCGTTCTGTTTTAGAGCGTGAGCGCGTTATTGTGTTTTGACTGAGTGCATCTGGTCAACACACCACACCACATAGCCTAAATTGGACATTCAATGTGTATTTTTTGACTGATGTGCGCGGAGCTGCATGCATACGCCTCAGCCCCACATTAGACCCATCACATAGCTAATAACGACATAATTGCGTGTCCCATTACGCCTTTCTATCTCCTCCTCAATCTCAATGCCTTTCATTGCTTATGGATAAACTATCTGTTCCCTTTCTTCAGCCTATCTGTGTACTGTGTTCCTATGGAAACGATCATCTGGGGTTCAAGGATCATTTGAGCTTTCTTTTTCAGAGGTCTTCTAAAATGGGTTTGTAATAGGCTACATTATCTGACTACCATGTGGAGTGACAAATTGTGCAAGCCATGGACAGTGGAATAGGAAGTGTCTTGCTACATTTTCACCTGAATATTCACCTGAATATTCGTTTCTACTTCTTCTGAAATATTTCACATATTAAGCAACCCTCAGACTAAATTAATGAAAGCTTGTAAGATGGTGGAGTGATAACACAAAAATGATGTAGGCTACCCCACACTAAAAACTCCATGGTTGAAAAATCCTTGTTGACTGGGTAATGGTTAAACAAGGGTTGCTGCTACACCTTACCCCATGGCCCTTCAGTACCAGTTAAGTCTTTAAGACACATATTTTTAAGACTGCAGGGTAGAGAAATTGGCAACATTTAATCTTAAAGCCTTAAATCTGCTCTGGATCTCTCTGGTTCTCTGGCCGGGGTCACGTAAGCATCCTGAGAAATGTACTGCTAGTGAGGGGATTAGGTTGAGATTGAACAGTGTTCTAAACAGGAAACGTTGGCAAGGGAACCTAATGCAAATGGCCGCTGTTGTTTCTCACGCTGTATTTACTTTAGTTTCCCGTGTAGTCGCACATTAGTCCACCAAGTGGTTTCTGTTTGGTGCCGTTTACTTTTGCCTAGTTATTACATATTGCCTCGTATGCATCCAGAGTGTCTTGTGGCTTTGCATGGGAGGGGCAGTTCCCCTTGCTGCTCCGTATGCAAGCACCATGGTCTTGTATTGGATGCGAGCTTCGAATGGAAGCCAGTGTAGTGTGCAGAGGAGCGGGGTGACATGGGAGAACTTGGGAAGGTTGAACACCAGGCGGGCTGCAGCGTTCTGGATAAATTGCAGGTGTTTGATGGCACAAGCCGGGAGCCCAGTCAACAGAGAGTTGCAGTGGTCTAGACCGGAGAGGACAAGAGCCTGGATTAGGACCTGCGCCGCTTCCTGTGTGAGGAAGGGTCGTAATTTACAGATGTTATAGAGCAGTGGTCACCAACCTTTTCTGAGTCAAGTCCAAAAGCAAGCCGAGATCTACCGCTCAGATAAAAAATAAAAAAACACTTAAAAAACATAAGCCTATGCAACATTAATCTATTAAAAACAGTTCTGTAGCAATGAGGTATGTGCAGTAAGCTATATGCCCAATACATTATCACTGCATATTGGCTATGCTTGAATTGCCCTGCCAGCGTTGTTCTTCTCAGACCATTTGAAAATTATGTGAGGCAATTCATGTTGAAATTATATTTCAAAATTGTAGATCTATGATCACGCTGGTAATATATAATTTGTTGTATTACTTGTGAGACACAGCTGAGCATAATAATTAGCTTTTGATTTTATTTTACTGGACTGATGGCCTGCATCTGATGGTCAGTCTGAGGGGAGGGAGGGAGGGAGGGAGAGAGCAGCGGTGAGGCTGCCTCTCACTCGACTCACCACCCTCCGCTCTCTCTCCCTCCACAGAGAAAAGGGGAGACAGTCTTCCAGCTGATAGCGAAACTCAAGTCACACTGCATTATTTCTGCCTTATGCATAAATTCATGTTGTTACTCTTATGACCAGAGAAAGTTAAATATTCCTTGCTGTTAAAAAAGACACAATATTAACAACTCAAGTTTATCGAAACACTTTGCTATACTCATTAATTGCATCTGCAGTGCTGGTTGTACCGTGAGTGGAAGTAGGGAGAACAAAGTGTTGACAGTGCTGAATAACAACTTAAACATGCAGCAGCTCTTTGCTGTATTCATTGAGTCTGTCTCTAGTCATGGTTTTAAACGTTTTGAAATCTCACAGTATCAACTTTGCTGTGCGCTCGAGGCTTCTTTTTACAGCCTATAGCTCGAGGAAACTGTGCAGACACAGTGATCTGAGCTATCTGATTGGCCAGCGGTAGGTCAATAGGTGCATTTGATTTGCTCTCTGAGCCTGCCGGGAATGCTGAAATGGTTCAAAATGGGAACATTTTGCCTTCCCGGCGCTATGGCTGCTGAATCAAGTGCATCTACCGCCAACAGCTCTAAATGAACAAAAAAAATAGGAACGCAAGGCTTTATCATTGTTGTTTTTTACAGAAATGTTTGGTGATCGACTACGAATGCCTTGGAGATCGACCAGTCGATCGCAATCGACTGTTTGGTGACCACTGTTGTAGAGCATGAACCTGCAGGAGCGAGACACTGCTTTGATGTTTGCAGAGAATGACAGGGTGTTGTATAGTTCCTTTCCTGAGGATGGCTCACCCCTCACAGTTCTGGGGGACTTCAACCTCCCTACGTCTACCTTTGACTAATTTCTCTCTGCCTCCTTCTTTCCACTCCTCTCCTCTTTTGTCCTCACCCTCTCACCGTCCCCCCCTACTCACAAGGCAGGCAATACGCTTGACCTCATCTTCACTAGATGCTGTTCTTCTACTAATCTCACTGCAACTCCCCTCCATGTCTCCGACCACTACTTTGTATCCTTTTCTCTCTCGCTCTCTTCCAACACTACTCACTCTGCCCCTACTCAGATGGTAATGCGCCGTCGCAACCTTCGCTCTCTCTCTCACGCTACTCTCTCCTCTTCCATCCTATCATCTCTTCCCTCTGCTCAATCCTTCTCCCTCCAATCTCCTGATTCTGCCTCCTCAACCCTCCTCTCCTCCCTTTCTGCATCCTTTGACTCTCTATGTCCCCTATCCTCCCGGCCGGCTCGGTCCTCCCCTCCAGCTCCGTGGCTTGATGACTCATTGCGAGCTCACAGAACAGGGCTCCGGGCAGCCAAGCGTAAATGGAGGAAAACTAGACTCCCTGCGGACCTGGCATCTTTTCACTCCCTCCTCTCTACATTTTCTTCATCTGTTTCTGCTGCTAAAGCCACTTTCTACCACTCTAAATTCCAAGCATCTGCCTCTAACCCTAGGAAGCTCTTTGCCACCTTCTCCTCCCTGCTGAATCCTCCTCCCCCTCCCCCCTCCTCCCTCTCTGTGGATGACTTTGTCAACCATTTTGAAAAGAAGGTTGACGACAGCCGATCCTTGTTTGTTAAGTCAAATGACACTGCTGGTCCTGCTCACACTGCCCTACCCTATGCTTTGACCTATATTTCTCCCCTCTCTCTCCAGATAAAATCTTGCAACTTGTGACGGCCGGCCGCCCAACAAACTGCCCGCTTGACCCTATACCCTCCTCTCTTCTCCAGACCATCTCCGTTGACCTTCTCCCTTACATCACCTCGCTCATCAACTCATCCTTGACCGCTGGCTATGTCCCTTCCGTCTTCAAGAGAGCGAGAGTTGCACCCCTTCTCAAAAAACCAACACTCGATCCCTCTGATGTCAACAACTACAGACCAGTATCCCTTCTTTCTTTTCTCTCCAAAACTCTTGAGCGTGCCGTCTTTAGCCAACTCTCTTGCTATCTCTCTCAGAATTACCTTCTTGATCCAAACCAGTCAGGTTTCAAGACTGGTCATTCAACTGAGACTGCTCTTCTCTGTGTCACGGAGGCTCTCCGCACTGCTAAAGCTAACTCTCTCTCCTCTGCTCTTGTCCTTCTAGACCTGTCTGCTGCCTTTGATACTGTGAACCATCAGATCCTCCTCTCCACCCTCTTCGAGCTGGGCATCTCCGGCGTGGCTCACTCTTGGATTGCGTCCTACCTGACCGGTCACTCCTACCAAGTGGCGTGGCAAGAAGCTGTCTCTGCACCACGTGCTCTCACCACTGGTGTCCCCCAGGGCTCAGTTCTAGGCCCTCTCCTATTCTCGCTATACACCAAGTCACTTGGCTCTGTCATATCCTCACATGGCCTCTCCTATCATTGCTACGCAGACGACATACAACTAATCTTCTCCTTTCCCCCTTCTGATAACCAGGTGGCGAATCGCATCTCTGCATGTCTGGCAGACATATTAGTGTGGATGACGGATCACCACCTCAAGCTGAACTTTGGCAAGACGGAGCTGCTCTTCCTCCCAGGGAAGGACTGCCCGTTCCATGATCTCGCCATCACGGTTGACAACTCCGTTGTGTCCTCCTCCCAGAGTGCGAAGAGCCTTGGCGTGACCCTGGACAACACCCTGTCGTTCTCCGCTAACATCAAGGCGGTGACCCGATCCTGTAGGTTCATGCTCTACAACATTCGGAGAGTACGACCCTGCCTTACACAGGAAGCGGCACAGGTCCTAATCCAGGCACTTGTCATCTCCCATCTGGATTACTGCAACTCGCTGTTGGCTGGGCTCCCTGCCTGTGCCATTAAACCCCTACAACTCATCCAGAATGCCGCAGCCCGTCTGGTGTTCAACCTTCCCAAGTTCTCTCACGTCACCCCGCTCCTCCACACACTCCAC